AGAAATCATATAATCCGAACATTGAACAGAATTTTCGTTTCATCTAGAGATAATAATATCTGTTTGTGTTTCTGTAAAGAACTATCTATTTTTGTCTTTGCAAAAATATAGATTTAATCCTTTTTAATAAATAAATAAATAAAGAATTCATTAAAATCAGTTAAGAAAGAGAAACTCTATTTCATTCACCTTAAAAAATTAGGTAGTAAAAATAGCATTTGATTTCATAATATTTACATACAAATTAATATATCTTAAAAATATATATGTATATTCCAATTTTCTTTAAGGATAAAGAAAGCATCAAACATTAAGGAATGATTACTTCAGCGTCAAACACAACAACGGAGTTATTTATTTCTTTAAGAAAAACCTTGTCTATCCATTGAATTCAATAGTCACTTTCAGAAAAATATTATTAATTTCTCAAGGGAATATTTATTCATTTTTGAGTTGAAATATTTATAAGATTAAAAAAATCCAACATAAAAGTTTATGAAATATTTATTTTATGAAATCTACATTTACTCATATTTGATAAGTTTTTTTATTTCGTCTTCGTGATTTATTTATTTTAAATTATTTAAGAGACTTATTTAAAAATTTGTATTTAACATAAGTAATAATTATAGTGTCTTCGAAACTAGAAGCAACTTTAATTATAGCTTCAATTTTAAAATATTAATTTATAAATAATAATAACTTTAAAACTATGAAAAACTATTGCATATATTACATGAATTGCGTCAGTTAGCTAATGAACGCTGACTCTGAGCTTCAAATTTAGCTGGGCTGGATTCTTTGTACTTACAGTCTCAAAAATTTTTTTACGAATAATTAAATACAAAAATTATTTCCAAGTCCACTGATGATGGGTATTTGGCAATACTCGAAACAGCTGTATGGTCAGCCAAAATTTTAATTAAGAAAAATAAAATAAAATGAATTTTTGTTGTTGTAGTTCGCTACATTTCGAAAAACCTCTTTATGAAATACACATTAATTAATAAAACGGCTTAGCAGTTATTTTATTTTGTATAGGTAATTGGGTAAATTAAAACTTTAATCTTAGAATACCAACTTGACTTCACATAACTTCTACTTTACCATTAACTCTCATTGAATCATACGGCCTTCGCAACTATTCAAAATCTTATCATGTTCGGTGCTGTTGTATATATATATATATCATTTCATGTACCATATAGGTTACAGCCGCAAGTTCTCTTTCGAATGTTCTTCTCCAGATTTTGGATGTTGTTTGTGGTTTTTAGGTTAATTTGAGAGCTTGAAGGGTGATAGTTCATCATTTGAGATATGTTCTGAGCAAACTATTTTCAAAATACATTAAATTCACTTGTTTATGAATATTATATTGTTACTTAGATTAATTTTAATTTTGTACATCTCGCACTCATAGAAGAGCACTGCTTTCATCTTGAATATCCCATAACAGATAACTACTGACTTATAATAAATATTTATCAACAGCCAAAGATATTGGTATAAGCTTCAGTCACATCAATAAATAATACAATTTGTTAAAGCATCTCATATATATGAAAGATACCGTTCTGCATGTGAAGAAACTAATATTATTGCTACTTATATACTTATTAAGGATTTATAGGATTTTAATAAATTTTAAAGTTTATATATTTATTTATTGCTACAAATGTTTAAATAAAAAATCATTTAGATAACTATATGTTTTTTTAAAATCTTTGCATAGCTAAATTAAAAACTGCTAACATTTTAAATTTTCATAATATATACAATTCTTTCAGTGTTTTGCTACCTGTAGTTTCTCAACTTTTCTAAAATTGCATTTTGATGCACAAAAAAAAGATGTGGTGATTTATCGGAATACTTTGAACAGGTAGAAATGTTTAGAATTTCAGATTTTACTTTCAACAGGATATAAAGACAAACAGATACATTTGTAAGAAAGTTATATCCAGTTATAAATTTATTTCTTATTCATTTTTGTCATAATATTTTTATAACTACGCACTGGACCATAAATTTCTTTGATCCTTTGATCCAAAGAAAAAATAAATCTATTCCAATAATTATTATTAATTGTTACAACAAAAAAAAACGTTGCTATACTGGAAAAACATTACAGAGCACCCATATTTAAAAAACCTTTAAACTACAAATTCTCCCGAAACTCTAAACATTAACAAAAATCTTTAAAGTTTTTGCCAAAAAAATTTTGGAATGGTTTAGACATTAGTTATTTAATTTATTGCATATTTAAAGAGACTACATAAACAATATCGTATAATAATATTATAATGTGTATTTGTAATATTAACAGAGATAAATGGTATCGAAAAAAGGTGTAACCAAATAAATTCTTTATACTTCATAAACAATTATTTTAAATACTTCAGTTCGTATATCCTCAGTTTCTTAAGTATACTTTGATTTGATAAATGATACTTTTTTTAATTGGAAAAAAATCATTATTTTTTGTCCAGGAAAGGTGTAAGTACCAGGAAGTAAGCTTTAAGATTAATTTTTCATTTTTTTTTCCTTTTTAAAATTGAATATATATAGTAGGCTTATTGGTACGTAGGCTTCCAGAGTGAAATATCCTAATCTGGATAAACCTAGGCATTTGTAGACGAAATCTACGACAATTTAGAAAAGAGCGTTTATCTGCCACTGATCTATCCAAGATGCCACAAGTTTAGATACTTTGAGTCTAGCCCTACTTAAGAAAATTGTATTCTTTTCCAGATTATAGCTTTTCCATATTATTTTAAAGTTGGTACAGAATATAAAATATGCAAAAATATTAAACTGCAATAAACATAGAAAAACCCAAATTTAGGAAATGAAAATCTTACTTTTGACTTATATTTTATATAGCTAAAGTATATTGGTGTTTAGCTATATAGGTGATATATATAGATGACTATAGAATGTAGTCGAAATATTGGTTTGGTAAAAATAGTCGAAAAAAATATTACAAAAAAGTTACTTTTATAAAAAAAAGTTATTTTTATAAAAAAATTTATTTTTATAAAAAAAAATGATTTTATTTTCATAAAAAAAAGTTATTTTTATAAATAAAACTTTATTTTTATAAAAGTTATTTCATTCTTACAAAAAGTAACTTCATTTTTTTAAAAAAATATTTTTACTTTTTCTAAATAAAATAACTTTATTCTTTTTAAATGAAATTACTTTATTCTTTAGAAATAAAATAATTTTATTTTTATAAAATATAAAAAAATTATTTTATTCCATAATTTGATTTTTACTTGATTTTTATAAAAAATAAATTATTTTATTTTAATACAAGAAAAATAATTTCATTATCAAAAATTAAAAAAATATTGGTAAATATAATTTGGTAAAGAAAAGATATTTTAATAAAGAAAATAAGTTAATTTTTACCTAACCTTTTTAATTTTAATTAAAATTAACTTAATTTTTACAATAAAAAATAAGTTTATTTTTAGGAAAAAAAAATTTATTTATTTATTTTAATAAAAAAATAACTAATAACATTTTTTTTATTAAATAAGTACTATTCGTTTATTTCTATTATTTATTTTGTTGTTACATTAGCCTTTAAAAAAAAACAATAAAATAAATAATAAAAATAAATTGCTTTTTACAAAAATTAACCACTTTATTTACTAAAAAAAAACAATTTTATATTTAAAAATTTATATAGGTTTAAGTCAACAAAATATTAATATACTATATTCATAAAACATTCAATATATTATAAATTAAATAGGAACTAAGTATATATATACATATATAAGGACCTAAATATATTAAAATAAGCGCCTAATATATATACCATTTCACAAAACTTTAAAGGGCTTTGTGTAATCAATAATGAAAATGGTACAATAGGACTCTTCTGGCCGCAGTAATTTTATAAATGAAAAATAAATATATATATCATATATAGGAATTAAATGGATTTGCAGGCGATACCAATCCTAATATTTACCCTCTCCAAGTAGAGAGTCTCTACTCGCAACACTTTTTAAGCGAGTCATAGCTATACATACTCCAATTCCAAGTCCTATTCACTTCAAGCTACTTCCTTTCCAAACTATATCCTTATTAAATCGTATGTGGATATGTTTGCAAATTAGTCAGAGGCATATCAAAGTTTTTATAAATAAGTGTAGTCCGTCAGGCACAATTTTAATATTTATGGGCTAGAAGTAAAACTCCAGCAAATATACAAATTGGTGAATACAAAGTCAGGTAACAGAAATTAAGATGGATCAAAAATACTATAACTAAATCAAACAGTTTTTTCACAAATAGAATCCGTAGGACAACCGTCAAGCAGAAACCCCATATTCTAATAAGTTAGAGAAACATATTCATCGCTAGTTTGGCTACTACGCAATATATATAGAGTGCTGCGATATAGTTCTCAAGAAAAGAATTAATATTAAAAAATATATATATAATTTTATTTTAATTAATTGAATAAATAATTATAATAAATTATTATTACGACCAATACTCAATAAGTTTTTTTGTTAATACTGGACTTAGGTAGTCAATTTAACACATAAAAATAAAAAATGTTGTTTTTTTTTAAATAAAAAATTACATTTATAAGTTTATATTAAATATTTGATTGTATTTTAATTTTATTAAAAAATTATTTATATGACAAATATTTCGGTATAATTCGTAGACCATCTTCAGTGTAGAATAATGTATAAAATAAATATATTCATTTATTTATATAATAATATTTATATAATATAATACAAATATATATTTGATTGAAGAAAGCATTAGAGAATATTTTTATATATTATCATGAAATTCACAATTATGTTAGCACGAAAATCCCAATAAGTTAAAATCTATTTCGACCTAAAAAATTTTCTATTATGATTCGAAATAAGATTTAAAAACACTTTCACTCTTGATTCCATATCAGAACTTATGATTGAATAGAAGACTCACTCAACTCAAGGAACTCATCGTTCCTAACTTACCTCCAAAACTCCAAGGTTCTTAATTCGGCATGCATACTGCGTTTTGGCTGGAGTGTGCTCGAAAGACGATTATTAATGGCATTGCCATGGGAGTCCTTACGCATCGCTTCGAGTCTTTCGAAAAGTGTTACGATGTGGAAGTCAATGTTGTTATCCAACGGTATTGTGTGTAAACTTTCGTCAGCCATGTTATTTGATTTAAATTCTTTTATTGATTAAAAAATTCACTTTGATCTTAATTGTTGTTGTTTATGTTTATGTTTATATTTCGATTCAAATATAAATTTATTTCAGTTATTTTAATGTATATATTATTTTTGTTGTGTTAAAACCACATATTTTAAATGCACTTTCGAATGTTTTAAATTATTTATATTTTTATTGTTGCAATACGGTTGGGTCTTGCGAAAATGATCGGTAGGGGCGATAAATTAAATTAAATTGAATTTAATTGATGATCTTTTTATGTACGCGTTTAACTGCCTGCCGTGGTCACTACGAAAAAATGTTAAAATTGCGCTAAAACTTATAAAATTTAACCGCGGTTTTTTAAATTCTTTACTAAAACACTGTTATTATTATTGTTGTTTTTTTTCATATTTTGGAAATGTTAAATTTTTTCTAACATTTGAGCATAAATTTACTTTTATTTTAAGTTTAATGCACCATTGTTTGTAAATAAAATTTAAAAACAAAACGCGTAAACACTAAAATAACGTACACAAATGAAACGCACACAAATTTTGAACTCCTATCAGACCTTAACACCGTTCTAACACGACCGTCCTCAACAGAGAAATGCGAGCGAATGAATATCAGACAATTGCCAAATTTTCTACAAGTAGAAGTATAACACAAAATGTGCAGCGACGAACGCATACACAGCAACATATGAACAACATCAACACAACAGAATCGTACAATAAAATTCACCACTGTGCAATGTAAACCACTGAAGTGCAAATACACGAAGTAAACACACGAAAATAAAAACACCAACGCAATGAAATCACCAGTTCAGTACATGTTTACAGACACCACAAACGCATCACAACAAAGCACAGCAGAGAATGAAGTGATGAAAACAAAAAGCAATAAGAAATCAAAGGAAAACATTTTCAAAATATTAACAACACAAACATCCCCCATTCGCATTTACGGATATGGTTAACATAAATATTTTGAAACCTGCTGCTGCCGTTAATTTTATACTGCTATCGTTGCTGTTAAGTTTACAGTTGTGGTGAATTATTCTACATAAACAAATAATAGTTCAAAATTTTTATTAGAGGCTGCAGCAGATATAGGAATTAAATAATATATGTTGTAAAAATATTTTATACACATTTAATACAATTTATTTATTCAACATACATATGTGGGCGCACTGTTAAAAATATAACTCTTAACTGTTAGTAATAAATATGTTGAAAAATATCAATTCAATTAGCATTTCAAAGAAAAAAGAGTTGCAAATATCAACAAGTAATAGTAAAATCTATGGGCTATATTTAGATCTTAAGTTTCTGTTGATTTAGGTTGGCACTTACTTGTTTTTTTTTAAGAATTAAAAAGAAATAATAAATTGCAAGTTATCATTATCATGAAACGCTATCACACATTGGTATATTGCAAACTTTGCAGAACAGTACAATTAGTTGCCAGAATATCCATATTCAAGGTGATTCTAATCTACTGCAATTTCTTAGAACACATTTAATTTTTTCATTTGAAATTGACTATTATTGAATCAAGAAAAAAAAAAGGGAAAACAAATTCTTTGAAATCATTTTGAATTAACGATATAATTGCGCACTAAAACTCTTAGTGGAACTCAAGACGACAAATGAAACAAAAACGCAGTCTACACAAATATGAAAATGCAAACCCCTCTCATTCATTCACGAAGAAAAGTTTTCTTCAGCACATCTACAATCTTATATATTATTTTTTCTGCTAATCTATGTTTGCAAAACGATCCATATCCAGAAGTTAATCCCACGGCAACCAGCTGAAAGCCCGATCTGGAGACAGTGAAGACCACGGTGTAGTCAAAAAACATTGGCTCTCTGTCATTGTTTGTTGATGTGTGCTTTATGTACCGATGCAAAATCCTATTGAAACAATAATTACTTATGATTTTCTACTCATATATGACATAATCACACTGTTTTCTTAGGGACTATAATTTTTTTCAAAAAACTCGGACATAAATGATTTGGTAATATATGACCAAGTGCTATCACCGGTTTTTAAATTGAAATAAGTATATAGTTGCAGATATTTATATTTAAAACTTAGAGAATAGTTGAAATTAATATATTGTATTACAATCAAATTTGCTTTATTCAATCTGAGATTTCTTTAAAACACTGAAATAAGTTGACAATATTTTATTTCTTTGATGGTGTGGAGATGGAATGATTTAAATAATGTCAAACCGACCGTCGTCAAAATGATGTTGTCGGGCATATTAATATGTAGTATGCGGACTAAAACACCGCTTTTGAGCGTTGAAATTTCAACTTTTTTACCACAGTTTTCGGTGTTTACTCTAGTCATTAGTCTAATTAACATACTTCCTTTTTCTTTCTAAATCTAATTTATTCGCTTTAAGGACTTCAATCAGATATGACTCTATCGTTCGCTAGTTCTCTGGGTTCGATCTCAACTTTCGCTTTCAACTATATTCTCAGGACTTAGTGGTCCAATCCGAACATTTATTTATCTAAGCAATATTGCACCGTATTAATTTAGTTTACTAATTACACAAGCCTTGCAAAATATTTCTGTCCTCTTTCCTCTGGAATAAATATAATAAACAAAACAATTAAAGGTTTGAAATGAAAAGTTTCTTCCATACTCCAAAGTCAACTAGGCAAAATTATTTAGTTATTGAATTAGGCCCACTAAAACAAAATCAGTTAATTTCATATTCAAATTAAGGAGAAAATGTTATTCATTTTCAAAAATTAACGGAATCTACTTACCACAATGCAACGAAATGAAATTACCAGAAATGCAACTCAATACAAAATGGACCTGGAAGACATGGAATATAGTTGTGGGATATTGAAACAACATTTAACAATCAAATTCTGTAAAACTTCTAATAAAAACCTTAGAGATATTAACTAAGAGTTCACAGGAACTAATAAATACTAATAAGGTATTCCAAAGCAGCTGAAGAGAAATTCAGGCACAGATCGTCTCTGCTAATCATTTTTGAAAAATGGAACCATCTATAAGTGGTTATATCATACGTTGGTGATAACTGGACTAAATTTTTGTAAGTTGTAAAATATTTTTGTAATAGGTATATTTTTTATATGACAATATTTAAGTTCAGATTATATCGCCGATATTATCAAAGATACTGAGCAGACAGGACCCCAGAATAATTTAACAACTCCAGATAAAATAGATAAAGTCTATGATCTAATGATGCAAGATCTCTGAATATGAATGCGAAATATTGATGATAAAGTAATATTATATGAAAAATTTGTATATGAAAGAAACGCAAGATAGATGTCGCGTTTTCTCTCAGTGGATCAAAAACTTGTCTGTGTAAATTTGAATAAACTGCTTTAAGTTTCGAAGTGATCACTGCAACTAATGAATATTTTGAGGACCTAAAACAATCTTATTTTTGCGAAACAATAAATAATTATAATATAAATGTTGTTGCAGAAAATGTATACAGCAAAAAATTTAACTTTTATTGATTAATGAATTATCAAACAGTCCTTATATATGTTATATATATCAGATAAGTTAAAAACTTATTTATGTATTTTTTGTAATTAAATACAGATTGATTAAAATTGAAAATAATGTACCAGAAAGAAAAATATACCCTTTAAAGTTTAGTACGTTTACTCTATCGCAATTAATTTAACATATATACAACAATAAGAACCATTTCTCATAGGTGTACCAATGTCGAATAGACATCCCCTCCTGCTTTATTGCGTCACGAAAACGTTATATTGTTTTTACCCTACTTTAATTGTAAAAGGATAACATAGATACATTAAGACTGAAAAGTTTTCGGAAATTCTCATTTAAAATTCGCGCGCTGTATATTTTTCGATATTTTAAGTTTATGTAGTTTGGCAGCACTGTCCTTAATTACTATGCCAAAAATGAGCGCGATCTGTCAGACAGTTCGTTTACGGCAGCTTGTGAAACCAGTTCACCTCAGTAGTGCGTTGCGAAATGTCTTCGACGGTCTTACGACCGTCCTGAAAGGCTTTGTACCACTCATAAACTTGAGTTTTCGATAAAACTGATTCCCCATAAGCCTTTTGTAGCATTCGCAACGATTCTGCACACGAAATTCGTTCGAAACACAAAATTTGATGCAAACTCTTTGTTCAATATTTTTTTCCATTGTTTTTTTCGCAACGCACTACTGAGGTGAACTGGTTTCAACAGCTGCCGAAAACGAACTGTCTGACAGATCGCGCTCATTTTTGGCATAGTAATTAAGGACAGTGCTGCCAAACTACATAAACTTAAAATATCGAAAAATATACAGCGCGCGAATTTTAAATGAGAATTTCCGAAAACTTTTCGGTCTTAATGTATATATATGTTATGTATGACAACGAAATACATATGAAAATGTCGATAAGACTTTAAAATTCCTACACTCTCCATGTCAAACGGATGTACCCATTAAGCGATTTATAATAAAGAAAATTTCTGATTATATTCTTCAATAAGAATCGTCTTCTAGTTATAATAAAAAAGGGGCTACAGTACTTAAATCACTGCTTAAAAAAACAATAAAATTTTTGGTTATTATCTTTAAAACCATACACAATATCCTTACGCAATGGAAGTGCATTATGATCTCAATACCTGATTATCCAGAAAATTACATTTTGTTGTATAAACGTATATGTATATATGCTTTTTGGTACCGTTCTCAAACATATTGGGCGAAATTGTTAAATGTAAAAAAAATTCAATTAATCAATGTATGAATCCCTCAAAGTTAATAAACCAACTACACATTAAGATAAAATGTGTAGCATTCCCCGATTTGGGGAACCAATGTTTAAACATAGAAAAGCAATTAATATTAAAAACGAGGAAAATGTGTACTTACTTGGTTGTATTTCATGCGTTAATATTGCGTACCGATAGGAACTATGGAAAATAGCAAGCTACTCAAATCCAAAAATACTAGTGAAAGGTTATTTATCCCCATTATTT